GGCGGGGGGTGGCTGAGCGCGGTCGGGTACGTTACCCCGCACCTTCACCTCTCCTGGGGCGGGCGCTGGGGTGGCTGAGCGCGGTCGGGTACGTTACCCCGCACCTTCGCCTCTCCTGGGGCGGGCGCGGGGGTGGCTGAGTGCAGCTGGGTACGTTATCCTGCACCTTTACCTTTCACGGGCTGGGCGCGGGGGTGGCTGAGTGCAGCTGGGTACGTTATCCTGCACCTTTACCTTTCACGGGCTGGGTGCGGGGATGTGGGGTAGCTTGAGGAAGTTCAGTTGCTCTCCAGTTAGTCTTTCTGAATCTTTGAAAACTGGCCTTGATTGCTTTGCCACAGACCGTAGCTGCAGTAATTGAAATGTAAAGAGACACTAATGGTTTTATATCTAGGATGTAGATTTGTGTTGATTAGATTTCAGGCTTGTGAGCTCTGCTAATCTCTGGGTAGAGTGCATTAGTTGCATTATGATCAAGCAACTTTATTAACAGGTCTGTAAAATGCACACACACTGACTGTACTCTGCTAATTTGTAGGGGGTGTAGCTTTGTCTTTGGGGAGGGGGGCTGCATGAAGGTCTTGCTTCGGTGTGAACTCGGCATCTCTGTGCCTGTCTCTCACCAATGAGAGGCCGTGAGTCCTGCCTGTTACTGGGTCCTTGAGGTCTATCTGCTGGCCAGAAGCTGAAAGAGAATAGGTGCTGTGGCTTTTTAAAGGGCCGCTTGTGTATGACGGAATACACAGCTGGTGGCTCATTGGGCCATCCCCGTGAAATGGGACCCTTAGCTGGCAGCTCATTGGACCATCCCTGTGGGCTGGGACCCACAGCTGGCAGCTCATTGGACCATCCCTGTGGGCTGGGACCCACAGCTGGCAGCTCATTGGACCATCCCTGTGGGCTGGGACCCACAGCTGGTGGCTCATTGGGCCACCCCCGCGCCTCACACTGAGCCCTGGGCTTTGTCTGGCATGCCAGCCTCACCTGTCTCTTACCCATCAGCTGCGGACAAGCCTGTTACTCTGAATGCTTTAGATTTCAGAATGTATGTCTTAGGGCAAGGCTGCTGTAGTTATATGCGTACAGTCAAACAATTAATGCTTTGAAATGCATGAATGATGGACTGGCATCCTGTGCTACTGCGGGCACTGCACACTACATGATGGATGGATGGATGACAGTTGACATTTGCTATTGTCTATTTTTCACACTCTACACTTGACTGTATTTTGAATCTTGAAAAATGTGTTAATACTGGTCAGTCTATACATTTTAATTGTGTCACTATAATAAATCAGTATAATGAAGGAAAGTCTGACTGC